AAACTCAACTCAAAACTAGACAGGCCAATGGGAAAACCATTTACAAGACTGGATATGGGGAAACTCTATGATTAAAGAAGTTAAGGATGGTGAGAAATGTCTCCCCTTTTCCTGAAATATTGTCCAGAGACATTTTTCTGTGTTTGAATAAAGGAGGAAGACAATATCTAGTTGACCCTAAAATATTGAGGAAAAAATTTAAAATTAATAAGTCCTAATTGCAGGTGTTCCTTCATCTCTCACTAATAGAAAGCAGGTCACACATCTCTATTGTCTGCAGACAGATTTACTAATCAGGATTATTCGAAATGGTAAAGGCTAATTTTAGTGGCTCCTAATCTTAAGATGTAAATAATATTAGCACTTTGTTGTCCAAAGATCATGAAGTATCTTATCTCTTGGAATGTCATTTAAAACACAAAGGCTCTGAAGTACAGACTCCTGTAAGCAAAGCAAATGTAGTGCATGGTTTGGAATATTCTTAGCCTGTGTTTGACACCAAAATAATACCTTATTTACCTACTTAAAACACTTATTCCTACACTATATATGTGCTTGACTAAACGGTAGAGATTTCCCTAAAAGTTAACCTTTCATTTTTGAACAGTGTGTTCAATAATTTCATTATATATTTGCATAAGAAAGTTATGAGTTTAGTTTAGGTAGATAAGCCGTTGACAAAATCACTTATAGGAAAGTGATTTTTACAGTCAACTTAATATAGTCTGTTCTTACTTGACTATAATCCACCTTTGTTAAGTTCTTCCAGAGTCATTTACCAGGTTAAATTATACAGAAAGTATGAATAAGCAAAGAAGACATTTATGCACATTTAGTAAACATTTTTAAGTGAGAGATTTTCCTCTATTATCCTTGTCCCTTGAGTGTCTGTTTCTATCCCATAATGCTAACCCACTTATCTGCCACTGTTTTGGGTCAAGGGAAGGGAAAATTATATGGATGAAGTAGAAAATGACGCTCTCTACAAATGCCATTTGAAGTAATCACAGCTGATAATCACACAATTATCAGCTGAAATATCTCAAAATGTTCAGATTTTATACTCTAGTTATTTTGAAAAATTGGAGTTAGACAAGAATAGTGAAATTCTTTGTTCTCTGAATATAGCTGTTGGATTCTTTGGGTTTTCTAAAGGCTCACTCTCACTGTATATAGCTTTTTATTTTCCTCTCAAAAGTCTCTCAGAGTAAACACCTCTTGCACATTCTGGGAAATGGACTGTACCCTGGACTTCTTACTGACAACCATAAACTCAAGGAGCAAGACACATTACTGATATACAGATTGTGGGAGGCCCCTGTTCTATTTGTATTCCTTTGAGCAACTCGGTGCTATTCCTAAAAATTGAACTACAGCTGGAAAATTGAGCCTAGTAAGTGGAGAATGTTTTAAAACTGGTGTAATGATCGAGAAAATGTAAAACAGGAGAGTTGCAGAAATGCTGCCAACTGAGATTTTGGCTAGCATTTGGCCCATGTGAAAGACCAGTGGCAGATTTTTTCTTAAGTTTTTATTTGCTTTACATTATTAGTATCGTTAGTGTTGTTAGACAAGGAATGAATAAAATACACTGTGAATACTTAAATTTTATAAAAATTATTACAATCAAGAGTAAAAATAAGTAGCAAAATAAAATGTGGGTAACAGGAGGTAGGAAGATCATTTTCATGGGGGAAGGGGATCAAGAGATGAAGGGAGATGGGAAAGAAGGAAAGGATAAGGAATAAAAGAAGAATTTAGATGTGTTGTATACATGTACCAACTCCACACAAGGAAGATAAACATGTACCAACAAAGGCAGAGGGATCAACAGATGGTGAAAGATGGAGAGAAGGGAGAGGGGATTTAAAAAAAACTTTATATACTACACATATGTGCTAATAAAGTGAAATAAAAAATTATTACAATAAAAGACACATTTTCATTAATCATTCTTAATATGTTCGCCCTCATTTCAAATATACTTAAGTCATTATTCTTGCCACTTCCTTGAGCAGTTCTGGAAATTACCTTTCATTGTTTTCTCCATGACATGTGATCAAAACTGTAGTGAATGCTACTGCCAGCGCCATCCAACAGAAAGGCAGGATCATTAAAAACATTACATTGTGTCCTCTTCTGCCTTATTCATTGGATCTGGAACTAGGACCGTGCAACCTCTGGCTTTGCTTCAGAGTCAAAGTGGCACAAAAGGTAAACATTTTGAATTGATTCAGGACATCACAAGCCACAGTACAGTAACTGAAGACACTCACAAAACAGGACTTCTATAACTACTTCAGAAAATGGCAAGGATGAGGGAACATTTGAACCTAGGGGGAAAACTTGTTCATCACTCTTCAGAGACTCTGTCTTATATGATACTTCAATACAATGAAATGTTACTTAGGTAAACTAAAGCAAAAATCTGAGCTGGGTGTTAAAGCCACAGTGGATCTTAACCTACAGTATAACCGCCTGTTATTTGTTTATGTTTCACTGTGGTGGAAGAAACATAACAGAATTTGCACATCAGCACAAAGAATATAGATATCCATCAAGGAGGAATAGAGAAAGTACTCACCCCAGATTGGCCTCATCTAGAGCATTATGCGATGAATTTCTGATGGAGTAACTTGGGATGACCTCATAACTGTGTCTATGGTATTTGAAGTTAATCCATCATGGAAAATATCAGTTACACAAGATTCACAGATATAAAAAAAGATACAGACACATTCTCCAGGTACCCTAAACATGCTTCACAACTAGTTATAAATACAACTAGTATAAAATACATTATAAAAAAGGTTTTTAAAAGACCTCTTGCAATTAAAACTCTTTGGCTTAGGGAAAAAAACAGCATTTTTTTGGGAGGGGTGCAGAGAATGACTCCTTTTGTTGGGAAAATACCTAAAACACAGTGCACTACTTTCAAAGGCTTAGTCTGAATGAGATTGTGTGAGACAACTAAAAGCTAAATAGTTCTCCACTGCAGTGTAGAAGAAATGCTGATTTCCAGAAGTTGGAAGAAAGTCAAGGCTTTTGAGTTTTGGTAGAAAGGGGAGCAAAATGGCAACCAGCAAGGTCTTAACCAGAAATATGATCATAGATTAATCTTGTAAGGAAAATTCATGGATGTTCAGAACTGTGAATATGAATCACTACCTTGTTTGGAGAATAATTGAGCTTCTACGTCATCCCTTAACCTTCAGGGAAACCTTAATCTTGATCGCATAAGACAAACAAATATTTGTGGAATGATTGAGGGGAAAGTAGCTAGTGGAACTAGACAGGAAAAATTAGTCAGGAGAAGTAAACTAGTAAGGAGTATTCAGAAAAAGCAAGGATTCATAATAAACCTTAGGATTCTCTTTAGATCCAGGGATAGACACAGACTTTGCACAAGGAATGAAATCAGGCTAACACTAGTTTATCTGTATATTAAAGGAAAAAATGGCCAAGAGGATTAAAGTTTGGGGCCATCTATCCAAGTAGCAGGTACTTAGGTTACACAAATTTATGAGAGGGAGTTATGATCAAAATATGGATGCTTTGGTGAATCATGTAAGGTGGGATTTTTTGTAGGGAGGAATGATGAATAGACATTTGGAATTAAGTTCTAATGAAGTCACACTGGGAGACACTTTAGGAATACATTACTGTAATGGCACGAAAATCTTCCCACTAGTTTTGAATTTGGGCTCATTTTTAATTTTTTTCCCAATCAAGTTATTACATAGGTGTCCAGATCCATTAAAATAGCTTTTCCACCAAGATCATTCCGCTATAGATGGTAGGAAAACTAGGAATCCCCATTCTCTTCTCTACTACTTTTTGTTACCTAAATATGCTCTTGTAATTAAAGCTCCTTACTTATAAACATCCACAATATCTTATAATGACATCTATGGGTTATCATGTCTATGTATATATCTATGTTTGAATACATATATTAGGAATACTTACACTTACCTTGTTAATTGACGAACTCTTTATGACAGACACTGGGATTACAAAGATAGAAAAGACAGCTCTTATTTTTAAGGTAAACACAGTGTGATAGTTTTAGCAAAAGCAGACCAATGAGTCAGCAGAGCAAAAAATTTTCATTGTGTGTCACAGTGAAGGTGTTTGAAAGTCAGTTAGAATACAGAAAAGTAAAAACAAAACATAACTCTAAAGATTAGGAAGGGTTAAATATAGAAAAATTAATAAACTCTACATTAGCATATTTTTTATGAGTCTCTTTGATACACATAATATTTCAATTTTACCTGATCCATAGGATTTTATGAAAGTATGCAGTGGTAGAAACCCTGATTTTTCAAAGGTATTAATAATAGGTCTTTAAAAATAACAGTGATAGGGCCTAGGGATTGTGTCAGCAGCACAAGTGCCTACCTGACAAGTGTGAGATCGTGAGTTTGATTTCCGTTACAAAAGATTTCCAGTACAAAAAAAGAGTGGTATTTTAAAATAGAGGCTTCAAATGCATTTTCATATAATTCTGGACATTCACTGTTCTTAAAGATTAGGCAAACCCCAAATTAGCTTTAGTCCTTGCTTTTATAACTGAACTTATAAAATCAAAGAAAACAAGACAAGTTGAAATTTAATAAGCTTTGAATTTACAAGCCCACAGGGAAAAGAATTCTAGTTTTAAAGACCATACAAAAGGAACATTTTTGATCCTTAGGACCAAAGTCAATCTGACCAATTTCTAGAAATAAATTACCATAGATGATATTTTAAGGATTACACAAGAGCCTCAACTAACTCTGATTATTTTGGGTGTTTTTCAAACCACAACAAATTGACTTATTTTCTTGGTTATAGTTCATTGAAAAGCTAATTACAAAATTTCACTTATTCTTGCTATTGTTTTTGTTCTCAAATGTAAATCTATCATTAGCTACCAACTGTAAAAAAACCCTTTTTTTCTTAAAATAAGATAATTGACTTGAAATGCATTTCATTATTACACTAAGTTATAAAAATTATTTCAAGCAAATCTGAAATTTGTTTTTATTTATAGAAATAATGCTAACACAGTAAAAATGTGCAATAAATATCATTTACTTCCACATAATACAAGGCATTTTTAAAGAAACAAATATTAATTTAATCACAAAACATTTCACCATCTGTTCAAAATTGTAGTCATATAATCAGCCCAGAAAAAATTCTGAAATTCTTCTACATAGCATAATAAGGTGGAGGACATAGAACATCTGAGAAATACTTTCAAAAGTGGTAATTAAATATACAACATCGATTCTTAGTAAGTTTGTTACACTAACGAGTTAAAGCATCATATATATAAGTCAGAAATGTGATACAAAAACAACTACCTTTATGTGTGGGAAGGTAGTAATTCTGAAATCATCAGATTTATTATTAAATTTTTTTCTGAATCTGTTAATTTGATCCTGGAAAACAAAAATATTTAATTTACCCTGAATCTTTAGTTTATTTAGAACATAAATGAACATAAAATATATATTTATATGAATGTAAAAAGCTTAGTGGTTGACCTCACATTTGTGAGGCCTTGGGTTCCATCCCTAGCACTATCTAAAAATAGCAACAGCATACGAAACTCCAACAAAAACCAAGCCAAAACAGTAACACAAAAACAATGGAATTTAATTTTTAGCTACAGGGACAGGGATATAGCTCAGTAGCACAGTGTCTGCCTGGCAAGCACAAGGTCCTGAGTTCAATTCCCAGTATAAAAAATTGGCTATAATAAAATAATATTTTGATGGCAATATGCTAAAGATAACAAAACACATTTTCAGTCATAATAATTTAGTGTTCTTAAAAATTGTATCAGAGCATTATGCTTCAAAAGGCCTATGTATAGAATAAAACTATAATTAGTGATATATGTGTGATATATGTGTTGGAAACTAGCTTTTGTCTGAATAGTCTTCAAATTCTTGCTCAAATTGGCTAAAGTCAAATTCTAATCAAGGATCATTATATAATATTTATTATTCTCTGTTACTTATTGTTCTAAGGGCAATCACTGAATGACCCTGATAGGGTTGCATGGAGGGCGAGAGCTAGGATACAGAGGCTACTCCTGGACTCCCAGGATGTTCCACCGAGGGCTTATCCTGGACTTATTCTAATGACAGTTTTGTCTCCAGTATGATAACCGACAATGTCCCAAATTATGAAAGTTAATAGGAGCCTAATCTCTGATAGTTAGAGTGAAGGATTAGGCTCAGTTTTGTCCTAGATGATATCTGTTTTAGCTGTAATGCCATAATTAAAGCTGTACAAGCCTAAAAAGTTATAAAATTGCATGTCTTAGAGGCTGAAAACAAAATTTTAATCTAATTGGATTATGTTACACATGCAGTAACAAGTAAAAGTTGTATTTTTAACCACCAATAGTAGTCTATTCTAGAAACTGCAGTCAGTGTAAGAGTTCTGCATGTTGTAAAGACTACTTGGTATTTTTTTTTTCTTTAAAACACACCCTTCTCTGAATCATGGTGTAATCTTTTCTTGAAGGAGTCTATATGTAGACTTGACCAGTGTATAAATGACTAATAATAATTTCACTAATTTTCTCTGCACTTTTGTTCCAAGTGAACCTTCAAAACAAAAAGCAAAGTTGTTTTAGAGTTTAAAAATATATGTTCCCAAGTTCTTTCCCCAAAACATGTTACAGGTACTTTCAAATGTTTCTTTTTCATTTCAGTTAGCATTCATCAAATAGCCAACAGATCGGCTTCTCCTTACCAGTGGATTTGTTATCAGTCACATTTCTGATACTCACATAAATACATTAGCATTGTGCACTTGCAGGATTTTCCCACAGACAATCCTATTAAATAAATTAAGAGAGTACGATTCACTCTTGACTGTGAGCCTTCATTTGGCAAAACTCAGGTCTTTTCTTTAGTCAAGAAAAGGGAAACTTTTTTCTTCACAGCACACATCCTCCTCATTGCCTGCATTCCAACTTGGGATGTAAACTGGAGTTACATAAATGCCATTTCAGGGTATATAACATTAAGAAAGTTTAGCAGTAGATATACTAAGTTTCTCTGCCTAACCCCGTGCACCCACCTCCCCAAAACAAGGCTACCTATTTGACTGCTGTGAAAATAATCTTGTGTCTTCCCAGCCTATTTCATACTCTCTCATCTCCTCATGCATCTAAAAGAAGAAAAAGTGAGGAATTTGATTTACATTTTATTTGAAAGATGCTTCCAGAAATAAGAGCAAATGCAACTGATTTGGGGACACCTGCCAATTTTTTTGAAACAATATCCATATAGACACAAAAAATTATTACCTTGAAAATGAATTTAGAAAAAATGGGCTCATTATGGTTCTAATACATAAGTCTTTAGACACCATGCAGTTGTGCTACTCTAACTCAGATAAAGAAATGATTCGTTTACTTGATGATTTATGTTGAACAGTGCCTTTTAAGAAATGTACTTGTAATTTTTATTTACTGTGACTTGTTTGTTTTATGTGCTGGAAATTGAACCCAGGACCTCAAGGATTCTAGGCAAGGGCTCATCACTGAAATATATTGCCTGTCCTATTTATTATTTTTACAAAGAAGAATGTTAAAACCTAAGGGGATACTTTCTGCAGAATATTTGAAAATATTTTTGGGTTATTAACCTAGGGAGTGTAAGGACTAAGAAGTTGGAAAAGGGGAAGAGACGGAAGAGGAGTGAAGCCAAGGGTTCCAGATTATTGCAGTGCCATTCAGTTCACAGTTTCTTATCTACCAAGTGTAAAAAACAAACAAACAAGAAAACAAACCCTGTACTATTACTAAAAGTAACTATTTCTTCCTCTAAGAGATGCAAAATATTTATTCTCAAATGTAGTATGATGTCTAAGAAGGAGCCAGACAAAATAGACAAAAACCAATAGGTTCCATTAACAAAAAGTGCTAGGAGTGTTGTAATTTATCTCTGCTTAGAAATGAAAGCAACTGATGTTCTCAGTTGGCTTTGGTTTACCTGCTCAAAGAAAACCAAGTTCTCCCCACTGGAAAATTTTAGTTGAGCAAGGCAAGTCAGGCCGAGGGGCTACTGGCAATATCTTTCAGTAACAATTCAGCAGGTCTATATTTGAATTACATGATTTTATATAACAGGCATGAAATCAACCACTTTTGGTTAATGAAAAATAAGTGAGAAAAAAATCTGTACAATTCTGGAGATTCTAAGAATATAATAAAATCTACTGTTAGCATATATATACACCATTTTACAGTTTATGAATCTTTCCACATATTTAATTTCATTTTGTCCTTACAAGTCAGTGAGGTGAGTGTTACCAACTCCATTACACAGCCAAGGAAACAGAGGCTTTATATGTTTTTAGTAGCTTGTCCAAAGTGAGGCATTTAGTAATGATGGAACTCAGACTAGGTGCAGAGCGATTCTCTGTCCATCTACTTTCCTCCCCTTAATCTCTATTCCTATTTTTCCCTATTATAAAACTACTAGGTGGATGGGAGATTGGAAGGATCTCCCAAATAAACATATAAGGGGAAATTTTATATTCCTAGTCACTATCAAGAAGACTCTCATGTATAAAATTAGATTCACAAAACATGCGGAGAATGATCATGTTAATATCCAGCATCACACAGGTCATCTTATGACAAGGTAAATATATTTATAATGTGCAAGGCAAGTGTTTAGGTTACTTTACTTTTCTCTAAAACTTGATATTCCTCAAACAAATCTGATTTTAAAACAATCTTAGGATATGATGAGCAAAACATATTATTAGTTTGGCTACAACATTTTAGAGCCCATATATCGTGAGGAACCTAAAGGAGAGTGGTGCTATTTATCATTTTGAATTTCAGAGTGACTTATTGCTTGTAATAGAACTTATTTTTGTCATTCTGAACTGGCTGCCTCCTGCTCAGTATGTCCCAGCTCATACCTCTCCATGGTGCCATTCTCTAGGTCACCATTTGGGGCTTCCTTTTATGATGCATACATTAACTTGCTGGATGAAAATGCAACTACTCTCAAACTTCCTCTAAATGATGAGCTCCTTTTGTTCAGAAAACCAGTCAAGCTTGATTATGTCAGAAACAAAAATAAACCAGCAAAATATAATGTCAAAGGGGTTATGATTTTTCCTTTAGAAACATAACTCATATTTCTGGGAATCGGGCCTACACATTTCAGTGTAGTGTGATGTCATTAACATTCGGTATAAAATAATCACACTGCTTGGTTTTTGCAATGTGCAAAATCGAACTAGAAGCAAGGCCTTGTACAAAATGAGCTGAACCATGTCTATCTCACCTAGTTCATTTGTTCTCAGAATTTCTAGTTGGATTAACTAAAGTCAGTCACAAGAGTCAAGCTGCATGAATCTGGAGTCAGGTAGAAACAGGAATGAATTTGCTGGACTTGGAAGATTTAGGTGAATCCTTCCATGTGCCTGTGCTGTTTGTTGGGCTTCGATTGTTGAAATAAGAAGTCTGTCTTCGGCTCATACTGTCAGTATCTTCTTTGTTGATTTTTTGCTTCATACTCTGGCAGCATGGGAAGCTTTTGACACAGTCTTGCAGGAGATGGCCACTAAAAAACATGTATATCCAGGGGTTGCAGCAACTGTTCAAGGAAGCCAGTAATGCAGTGATGGTGGTAGTAGGGTTTTCTGAATCTATATGAAAAATTATAAAGAAATTATTTTAGTCAAAACAAGAAATTGAGTATTGCATAAACTCATTTTTCTAGTGACTGAAGAGGAAAAAGTTATAGGTTAGTACAGGAAATAATCCTGTGTATTAGGGAAATTGGTGGCACTTAGAAATAGCCTGATTATAAAATATTTTGTCAACAAAATGCCTTAATATTAATGCAAATGTTTAAAAATGTTTAAATATTTAAATAAGACGAGTTAATTTTAAGAGGTAAATCTATAAAACAGTGTATTTTAAAAATATCTGTATACTTTAGACTAATAGGAACATGTACTAAGAATTATGGAACGGCTATGATTTCAATCAAATTTCAAGTCTATAACCATATATACCAAATTATTTTCATACTGATAGCTCAGGCAAAAGTATAGCACCAGGGACCATGTTTAGTAGTAGTTTAAATGTTGGAAGACTATGTTCTTTTCACATGAAAAGTTGTTTTGTAAGAATAACTAGAAATTTGGTCTGCTTTTAAAATTTATTTATTTATTTTTGGTTCCAGGAATAAGACCCACAACTTTGCACTTACCAGTCAAGTGCTTAAGCCACTGAGCTAAATCCCTTGGCTTGCTTTTAAAAGAAAATCATCTTTGTATTTCAAGCAATTAAATTATAGTAAGAACAGTTGGATTAAGAAATTCCAACAGAATTCTGAATTGTTTTATGTCACTGGTACTGGCAAATTACATAAATATTATGTCTTTTCACAATGAAACTCCTGCACTGATCATGTACTTTTTTTAAAAATAAGAATAATGAACAAGTACTGACTTATCCTTAGTTAATGTATATCAATTTGGGTTTTCTCACTCTTTCTAAATTAATTAGCCAATACTTTGTAGTAGATGTTGCTATTAAAAGTGATCATTATCCATGGCTGATTGTATTAAAAATAGAAATCATTTACATTTCCAAGAATTTAGTAATTATGTCTAATTCTTAATACAGTGATAACTAGATTGGACCTTTTATTTGATTGGCAATATTAGAGGTGTCTAAGATCAAAAAGGACAGAAAATGATAAATAAAATTAATGTTTGTGTGTATTTTTTCTTATTGATAGTTATAAATTACAGAAATTATTTGTTTAAATTAAATTCATTCAAAATTTTATTTGCAGATAAATTCAGAAAATGTATCACATACACTCCAACCTCAATCCTAGAAAACATAATCTCACAGATATATCCTGAATATAGCCATTACCAGAACTATTTTTGTATTATTTTTGATTGAAATTTTTTTTCTCCTTACAAAAACATCTTGAAAATGGAAAACTGCATAGTGCTTTTTTTGGAGTAAATTACTATGAAATTAGCCTATTTTGTGAAGGAACTAAAATCAAGCAAGCTAGTCCTGTATACTTCACAAGATTTATGTTGAGCATAGTCAAATTATTTCTAAAAGACTAAAGAATTTGTCTAAGAAGTTTATCAATAACACTGGCTTAAAATACAACAGAAAAAGAATTGTGAGAAAAAAATTTATAACAAGAAAAGGAATATAAGCAAAATAACAATTTTAAGTTCTTAACTTCTTAAGAATCTTTTTCCAATTTTCTCTAGATTTTCATCTTTACTTTTGCCCTTAGAGAATCTATAAAATTTCTGTATTAATTGGGATGCTTTTCACAATCCAATGAAAAGCAGTTATGACACTAATTAAATACTTCCCTGAATCCTATCGACGTGAAAGCAGGATATTCACGCAGTAGAGATTTGGCTAAAGATCATTATTCCATTTTGTAGTTGGTGGTGACTTCAGAGCACAGCTTCTGGATTTGTGGTATTAGGATCATCACTGTATGCTACAAAAGTTGATTCCTGGGTCCCACTGTAGAAATTTGAATTGTTAAGTCTGGAGTTGAGACTCCAGAAATTTCCATTTTTGACACTCCCGCCCCACCATCCCAATATGTGATTTTTATGCACGAATAAGTTTAAGAGTTGTAGTGAGAATACTAGGAAAAACTGCCACTCACAGCCCGCGCCTGATGTCTGGACTGTCTCCTACCTGTCCAGACGAACTTCTCATCCCAGACCGACCACATCTGGACGATGATGAAAGGCGCCCAGCAGAGGATATAAACCGTCACAATCACGAAAGTCATTTTCACGGTGCGGATCTTGGCGCGGGAAATGGTCTTCACGCTGCTGACGAAGGGCGCAATCAAGAGGCCCTTATGGAAGGCGCCCCCTGAGCCCGCTGCACCTTCGCCCAGGCGCGACGCGGTCTTTCCGCGGACGTTGCGCCAGATGTGGTAGCAGATGAAGCCGTAGCAGGTACCCAAGATGACCACGGGTGCAACGAAGACGCAGCTGGTCATCCAGGTGACGTAGGCGCGGCTGCCCCAGGGCTGGATGAAGGTGGCCCAGCAGTCCTGCGCCTTGGTGACATTGTCCACCTCGATCATGGAGAAGATGAAGTACTGCGGCGTGCTCAGCACGAAGCTCAGCACCCAAGAGGCGGCGATCATGAGGCGCGAGCGGCGCGCGGGCTGCTGCAGAGTCTTGAGCGGGTGGCACACGGCGATGTAGCGGTCGGCGGTCATGACTACCAGCATGTAGGCCGACGCGAACATGGCGAACACCTGCAGGTGCTTCACCACGCGGCACAGCCAGTCGGGCCCGCGGAAGCGGTAGGTGACGTCCCAGCACAGCTGCGGCAACACCTGGAAGAAGGCGACAGCCAAGTCGGCCAGGCTGAGGTGCCGGATGAAGAGGTGCATGCGGGACGTCTTGCGTGGCGTGCGGTGCAGAGCTAGCAGCACGCTGCTATTGCCCAGCACCGCTACCACGAAAGTCACAGCCAGCACAGCGATCTCCACCTTGGCCAGCTCCTCATTGCGCACGTCCCGCGGCTGGCAGTCGCCTTCTCTGGGCACATCCGCTTCGCGGCTACTGTTGGCACCATCTGCAGTCAGAGCCCACCAGGCGCTGGAGTTGCCCGCTGGATCCGCGACCGCGTTTCCGGAGAAGCGCATGCTGTGGGTGCAGCCCCAGAGTCCGCGGTGCGCACGGGGGCGGGGGCTTTGCCTCTGCGCTCCCGAGCACTTGAGTGTTTTGCCCCGAGCGCGTTCGCCTGCTCTGCAATTCCCTCTGCCCTTCCCGCCTGCCCACCGAGCAGCTCTCAGTCGATGCCCGGGGTCCGGTCCTTGCTCTGCCTTTAGCCAGCTCCCGCAAAGCGCCGGAGGTGCGCTCGGAGCTTCTGAACTCACTGAGCTCCGAACTCAGTGATTTATGCAAGGTTTGTTTCTGAGGAGCGCGCTCTGTGTCGCCCCAGCGGCCGGAGACGGTTCCACCCCCATTGGTCCCTCCCGCTTACGTGGGTAATTTGCCCTCTTTGCATCACTGCTGCAGGGTGGGAATGAGACACTTGTGGATTCCTAGGCGCAATAGGCGCCATCCCAGCGCTTTCTCACTCTTGCAAAAACTTGGAGACTGGGCGTGCCATGCCATTTCTGTGTTTATTACTCTTTCCTGAAACCTCATTTACCCACGTTGGCTTTCAAAAGGCTCAGTACGCGCGGTGCCCAGAAACCTCGCGTCTACGCATCCGTGGGCTCACGCACCTGGATTTGGAAGTCTGCTTTAAGTGCTTTGCTCAGCGAGTACAGCCCTGGGAAATCAAACCCGCTAATGCTATTCTCGCGTTAAATTTGTTATGAGAATTACATCTCTCCGTGTCCGGATCCTCCTCACGCCTCCCTACAGCTGTCTGCTATTTGTTACCCTGCTGGGTCCGACAGGAAGAACGCACTGGCCTGCCTCACCGCAGCCTTCTCGGTAGCGGGCCTGCGTCCAGCTGGCGCTCTCTCTCTCTTTCTCTCTCTCTCTCTCTCTCTCTCTCTCTCTCTCTCTCTCTGTGTGTGTGTGTGCGCGCGCGCTTGCGTGTGTGCGTGGGATCTCCTGGTTTGCCAGTTTCTCTGAGGATCTTGGCGATTGAGGGAGTTTTCTCTAAACTAGATGCCTGAAGTTTTCTCCGGGAAACCCGATTCTCACTGCGGGGGTGGCGGAAATTGGGTCGCAGTAGTCCGTGGAGACTTCATCTGGTTACTATTGGAACTGTGCAGACTTTTTCTCGGGTGGACAAAGAAGAGCTACCGGATAGCGTCCAGCGTCCAGGCAACCAATGATGTCCTGGGGACAGGTGCGGAAAACCTCTTGGCTCCTGCCCTCCAAGGTGAGAAAGAAGAGCTATGTACAAGGCAAAGAGGAGCTCCTAAGGAGGGCAGCAAACACCACCAACGCATTCATCAGTGAAGCTGGATGACGGGATCCTGCTCTAGGCAAAAATATATACTGACTCCATGAGCTGTTTTAATTTTGGTGAAGGTAGGCTTCCAAAGCCAGCAAGGGGGAGCTGTTTTCAGGCTATTTTACAAAAGGGAAAAAATTATATAGCTATTTACTATGTGAATACATGAACATGACTCTGTTGGCCAGGTCTGTATTGTGGCCATAGTACACACGATTCTCAGAAAAATGTCACCACCTGTGAATCTGGACAGAAAACTCAAAAGATTTCCTTTGGGCAGTTTTGTTATAATTCTACTTTACTATTCAATTCATGCAAAAACAGTAACAAAGATACATTTAAAGGGTGCTGAACTAGACATCTGGAGACCTGTTTCATTGTGATTATATGGCTCTCTGTGTGTCTTAAAAATGGGAATACAGTAAGAATATCTGTCATTCCTGCATAAGAGGCTATTGGACGATCAAGTGAGATTGTGTGTGTGTGTGTGTGTGTGTGTGTGTGTGTGTGTGTGTGTGTAATTCCCTGAAATGGTAACCTACATGGAATGGGCTTCTTTTTTCCAAGATATCTAGGAAGCAATAGACTAAAATGGTTCAGGAGTGGTAATAAGCAAAAGGCTTGAAAAAAGTCAAGAAATTAGGTCACTGGCTCCAAAGAGGTGATCTTTTAAATCCAGAATTAGATAGTTAATTCTCCACTGGAGAGGTTAATATTGGCTGACATTAGTGTCTCTTAGTACTGCAAAAGCGGTCCATGGACAGAGACTGATAATTTGATAATTCTTGGATTTATGCAAGAATTTTAAGTTTCCTCAGGGGTGAATCTATAGTGCATGGTCACCAAATTTTCCTGTGTATTCTTACCCCAGAGAGAAGGTGTGTGACCTCTCAGAAAATCATTCATGTGTTTCAGGCAATCTGACCCAACAATCAAACTGTATCTAAATATTTTTATAAAAGTAATCTCTTAGGTTATATCAGTCACTATAATTAGAAAATATTCAGTGACAACAGAGCCAGTGATCACATATGTTTGAAACATATATGTATATATGTATGTATATATGTATGTATGTATGTAAGTATGTATGAGAAGCTAAAAGTAGAAAACATGTGTTGCAGATTCCAAAACTAGTCCCTCTTTTAACCCACATAGTTTTTTAAAAAGCCTGTATGTCTTGTACAAATGAAAGCAAGACCATCGAAAAAGAGGTTCATTGAAATGCATAAATATTGAGTATTTCAATGACTCCTTTCCCTTCAGTTTTAAATTGATGGCACTATTGTTACAGGCCTGTAGTCTGTTATCAATGCCATTACTTCTAATAAATCAACAAATATTCATTGCCTATTTGTACTAGGTCTTGAGCTAGCTATAATGATGGTTAATATTTGTCAAGTACTTTGTCTGTTTCAGGCACTGTAACCCACTTACAAGTATTATTTAACTTAATCCTTCCAATGATTACAAAGGTTATACATTTGAATAAATATTTGAATAATTTAAATAAATAGAAGCAGTGGGTATAAATGATTAGCTTTTTTGTGAAAGGACTGGCCTAAAATGTCCACTGAAATTCATAATCTTAACTACTGTAATGTGGGGCCTTCTGAACCTCATGTTTCTATATCTCCCAGACTTATCCAGACCCTCTGATCGGTTATTTAACATTTCATCTGTATATGGCATTTTTCTCTTGTAAGACTAAGTGGTCCTGTTGAATCTGGTTTGGTTCTTACATGTTATAGATAAGCCAATAGCAAGGCCATAATAGGTGTAGTAGTAATAATAGTAACCATGATAATAACAGATGATGTGAGTATTTATTAAACATTGATTAAATTCTTATGAAGTGTTTTAAATTCATTATTTCATTTATTCTTTAAAGTAAATTATTCATTTTTGAGTAGAGATATAGCTATTATTATCCCACTTCGCAGATGAATAAAACAAGGGTTACAGAGGTTAAAAAAAAACTGAGCCAGAACTCCAAGAAACCAAGTAACTGAGCAAGTCATCCATAGATCCATCTGATGTCAGGGTTTGGAATCAGCTTCTATGCCCAGTGCCTTCCACACACATGACAAGCACCTAAACACTCCTTTGCAGGATGAATTAACATATGTAATAGAAACTGGCTGTAGAGTGCTGTTTAAATGTAAAATTCCAAAAACTCCTTGTGACCATATAAATTAGGGAGGAGTTCCTTAGGAACTGTCTCTGAATGCTTTGATTCCATAGCATGTCTCTGAAGAAAGAGGGTCAACATTTATATTTGGAAAGAATGTGAGTGATTCGAGTAATCCTTCTGCCTTGTGAATCCTCTTGTGATTATAATGAATTTTAAAACTATCTAATGAGTGAGTTTTAGAAAAGCACACACACACAACGACACATAAACACACTGGATTGTAAAAACATGTTACCGGTCAAACATGGAAAAATATCAGCTCTCCACTTTGTTGTAACACTAAAAATAAGAACACTGATGGATTCTATTTATGGAGCTCGATTTCTTCTGGTGTCAAATAAATAAATGCTTGCTATTCTTTTTTCTTTTCTTTATTTTTCAAACAGGGTGTCTTGGTTACTTTTCTTTCATGTCTGGGACAAAATATCCAACACTCAAAATTAAGAAAGGAAAGATTTATTTAGCTCATTAATTTGTGAAGGTTTCAGCCCATACTCAGCTGGCTCCAAAGCAGGGTGGCATGGCACAGGGACAGCACTTCAAGGCAGCAGAAGACAGCAAAGCAGAAACAGCAAAAGGGGATCAGGGGACAAGCTTCTCTTCCTCCTGTGTAATATAAGAAGCTCCTCCACTTCCCACAGGTGTAGCAATCACATTACTTCTTAGCCCTCCTTTTGCACAGGCTCAGGATGTTTACAAAGCAAGGGCCCTGGGTTCTGCTGAGTCTCTCAGACTTCTAAACCTTATCACACATAACACAGGGTTAGTTTAGAAATATTACATTCTATCTGTGTTTTTCCCTCCCTGCTCACCCTTCCTGGCCCCCATGTCCACCACTTCAAACCTTGCTAGATTATCAAACTTTTCCAAAAATCTCTTTTCTTATCACCAGGAATGTGAAATATACCACATTATATTTTTCATTGGTATGTTCATGGTGATAATTATGTTTACAACTAATTTATTATATTGCTTGAGGAGAGATTAAGTCCATTTGGACTACCACCTCAATTTATATGTGAGAATCTCTAAAAAGTTTAATTTCTAGAAATACATTTAAGCTATGGATTCAAAATTGGCAAAATGTTTGAAATATTTGGGGCATTACTTCAGTGTTCCCAAACCTCTGGAACATTTATCTGAAAATGTTCTTTGATTATATGTGCATCCTTATGAGTTCCTAAACACCATCAATGAAAAACATGATTGATATTTATTCATTTCTACATTGAGTATGTTATTAAAAAGGATGAATGAATATGCAACTGATGTTCACAGAAACCTTTACACTTTTTAGGATTTTGTTTTAACCTTTCATTTGAATAACCATCATCTTCCCTAAAACCTTCAGATAAGAACCCAGCCCTTTGAGAAAGGTTTAAGGACAGGTAATGGAGGGTATAGATATGATGAAAATGCATTATATGCATTGAAATGTCAAAATAAATAAGTAAATAAGGCTAATCTGGCTAACATCTTTGGCTTTCCAAGGTTCTAAGCAGAGAACCAGTTGGGCTCTGTGCCAGACTTCTGATCTTTAAAACTTGAGCTTCTACGTACATTAAATCATTGCATTTATTATTATTATTTATTAGTATTAACTGTAGCAATAGAAAATTAATAATTTCTTAGAAACTTGTAATTCAACATCTTCATTAAAAGTTAATGAAATCAACAGAAAGAAAAGAAAACCTATAGCTTCCAAATTAGCTAAAAGCAGAAATTGAATGTAATAAACTTTACCAACCCAACAGAAGACTGAAAAGTTCACAAAGCAAGGAACTACAAAAAAAAAAAAAAAAGGAAGCAGCAGTGCTGAGACAATTTAAATTTTCTTAGTTTATAGAAAATTAAGGAAATAAAAAAGTCAAATAAGGAAGTAAAAGACTAAAAGCTATGTGTAATAAATCGCATTTAATTGAAATCCATATGACACTTGTATCTTAAAAACATAAAATACATCTTCTTTCATATCCTCATGTAATAACAACAGAAATAAGAATGGTACATACAACATTCTCCCATTAGTATACATTTCAACCAGAAATTACTATCCCAAAGCAAAGTAACTACTTGGATTTAAAGAAAGATGAAACTAAACAAAGAAAAAAGTCCTTGTTAGTCAAATCTCAGGTTTAAAGGAAATTTTCTGGGAAGTATTAGCACTTGTTGTATAATAGATAGTTTAAACTATTATTTTATAGATATTCCTGCCATATTCCACATCTCAGTTATATAAATGAATATAGTTAAAATAGGAGCATTTATATTACTTTAGAATAGGAATAAAAATCACAATATAAA